TCATAACACCTCTCAGAGGTCAGAAACACTCCCTGGCTCTGGTCAAGCAGGAATTTGTCAACGTGCAGTCCCCAGCGTCCCCCACAGCTGCTCACATCGTACCAATGCTGACGAGCTGGATGTCGGTGTGGTCTGAGCCGAGGGCGTTGGTGGCCGTGCATGTGAAGAGGGCGTAGTCTTGGGCTGCAGACACATTGGCAATGGTCAAGAGGCTGCTGTGGACGACACCCTGGTGGTACCTGTGCTCTGTGTACCTGGAGAGAGGGCGCGGCAGGGCTCAGGAAGGACAACCAGGCTTGGCCGACCAGAGCTGGGGCACGACCTGGCTAAACCCAGGTTCACCTGGGATCCTGGAGATCCAGGGGGACCCCATTTTTGGTCCAGGCAAAGTCGATGTTGGGGACACCTCGGGCCCGGCAGTGGAGGGTGGCTGAACTGGTGCTGTCCCCAGCTGCAGCCACTTTGGTTAGGGGCGTTGGATGATCCACCTGGGGGGCAACTGGAACAGGCGGGAGGATCAATGTGGGGGGCGGGGAAGTGTGCGAGAGCTGCGGGCCATGGGCATTCGTCGACGTTACGCACATCTGACAACAAGACGGACCAGCCCTCTGGCGACTGGCGCCACCCCATTGTCCACGATGCACTGGTAAGCACCAGCCTGTGACAGCTTGGCCTGGTGAATCCGCAGACGTCCGGTGGATCCCTTTGACATCTTCTCCATGTCATCCAGGCTCAGATCATCCTCATCTTCCCCCTAGCATCCCCGACACACAGGAGCTTGTTCCCCGCCTGTCCTCAGACCATCCCCCAAACCGTATCCCACCCGCGGCTTCATTCTCCTGGCTACCATCTCCTTCCACAAAGTCAACCAAGTACTGATGCTTCTTGTCATCCACACAACCATTGATCTAGTCCACCCATTCGCCCACCAACTCAGCCAACCATCCATCCATCCGTCCATCCATCCGTCCGTCCGTCTACGTGCTCATCGTGCTTGGAACCACCTGTAGACTCAGGGTGCAGCTTAGTGGGAAAGCATTTGCTTAGTGTGCTCAACACCCGGGATTCAGTCTCAAGCGCTAAAAAATAAACTGACTGGGCTTTGTGTAGTGGTTCGTGTGCTGGGGAGGAAGAGGCAAGAGAATCCCAAGTTCAGAGTCAACCTGGGCTACATGGCAGGTTCCAGGACAGCCTAGACTACATATCAAGACCCTCTCTCAAATATGGTAGTACGGGTCTGTCATCCTAGCACTCGAAGCCTGGGGGCAGGAAGGTGAGGAGTAATTCAATTCTTTGAGGGTAGCCTCAGCCACATAGCGTGCTTGAGACCAACATGGGTTACATCACCAGCGGTTCCCAATCTTGCATATCATCCTGCATATCAGATACTCAACTAGGATCCATAACAGTAGTAAAATTACTGTTACGAAGCAGCAGTGAAATAGTGTCATGGTTGGAGGTCACCACAACGCAAGGAACTGTACTAAAGGGTTGCAGCATTAGGAAGGCTGAGGGGCCACTGCGTCAAACCCCATCTCAAAAACAATGGAGCCAGGTGTTGGTGGCGCACGCCTTTGATCCCAGCACGTGGGAGGCAGAGGCAGGCAGATCTCTGTGAGTTCAAGGCCAGCCTGGTCTACAGAGTGAGTTCCAGGGTAGGCTCCAAAACAATACAGAGAAACCCTGTCTTGAAAAACCCAAAACCAACCAAACAAACAACAATGGGCCTTCAAGATGGTCGTGGGTAAAGACACCTGCAGCTGAGCCTAATGGTGGGAATTTGTTCCCTGGGAGCCAGTTGTTGGGAAGCAGTGATTTTCACACTTGTCTTTTGACCTTCACATGCACACTACGGCACACAGGCAGTATACACACACAATAGATAAATTTAAAGCAGAGGCAACAAAATGAACAAAACCCAAAACCTGCCTACCCACTCACTAATCTTTCCATCCACTCAGCCACCACTCAACAAACACTTTGCTGTCTTCCTTTACAGTCTTCGACATTCTTTATTATCAATCATGGGTGTGTGATGGGGGAGGTCCTTCTGTATATATGTTTCTCTTATCGGCTGATGAATAAAACACTGATTGGCCAATAGCCAGGCAGGAAGGATAGGCGGGGCTACCAGACAAGGAGAAGGCTGGGGAGAGGAGTTGCCAGGGAGACACCGTGCTGCCAAGAGAGTAACATGCCTGGTTATGGGTAAGTCACAGCCTTGTAGCAATACACAGCTTAACAGAAATGGGTCAGTAATTAAGAGAGAGCAAGCCAGTAGGAAGCCTAAGCTGTTGGCCAAACGGTTTATAATTAATATGTCTCTGTGTGCTTATTTGGGCCTAGACAGCTGTGGGACCAGGAGGAACAGAAACTCCGTCTCCAGGTGTGCATGCGCGGTGTGTGTGCGGATGAGTGCAGGCGCGTGTGTGCAGCGGTGTGCAATTTTAAACATTCTTTATCATCAACCGTGGATGTGCAGGCGCATGTGTGCAGCGACGTGCAAGTGAGTTGCTTGGGAGGGTCGGTTTGCTCTGCCCGACATGGGTCCTGGGGATTTGACTCACGTCATCATGCTCGCACAGAGAGAGCCTCTGCCCCTCCTCACCCGCCCTGTTTGTCATCCTTCCGGGCACCAAGCTATCTTCCTTACAACTCTCTACTCATTCGCGATGTTTTTCTCCCCTCTGGGCTCGTACTCATAGTCACACGCCCCTGCTTACTTACGCGAGCCCCTCCCCCACTGATGTGTCTACAGCCATCATTCCAGCTCTTTCCACTCCCCTCCTTTCTACAGATCCGTTCTTCTGTCTCAAGCAAGCACGGGGCCACCCATCCTACCATCCATCCCTTCTTTCGCTCACCCAGCATGTTCAAGCTCGTGAACACACGTTCACACACACACACACACACACACACACACACACACACACCATTCTCTCACTCACCCATGCACCCGCCATTCAACAAAACCAGTTCCTGGACCAGCATAGTCACATATGGCTTCACATGTGTATCATCCACTCCTAAGGCGCTCATAGCCAAGAGACGGCACCTCCTAGCTCCACCTCCATTCACCAAACCCAAGGTGCTTACCAATCTCTCCCAGCTGAACATCTCTGGAAGGATGGGATTGGCATCCACAGTGCAGACTATGTCTACAGAACCCCCGACATTGACCTCCGTAGGGTCCCGGAGGGCACGGATGGTGGGAGCATCTAGCGGGAGACAGGGGCTTGGAGACGGCACTTAGACCCTGAGAGGCCCTGGTGGGGGGGGGAGGGGGCGCTCCAGGAGAAGGGTATCTTAGAGGTGTCTGGAATGGTATGGAGGCCCATGGGTACAATTTGCTCTTTATGGAGGGGGATTCTCAGGGTGACGAAGCTATCTTCACCCTCGTTGTATCTCTTGTACCTTTGTGATTATTGGAGTCCGGGGTGTGTGTGTGTGTGTGTGTGTGTGTGTGTGTGTGTGTGTGTGTGTGTGTGTGTGTGTGTGTATTTGGGGGGTGCCAGAACAGTGTTGGGGTGGGGTTCAAGAGAACTTGGTTTCCTGCATGGAGGAGCTCTCAAGCAAACGGACCCCTCTCTATGCAGATTCCACTTAGGGTCTCCTTAGCCAGCATAGCAAGAGCTTTCCAAAGAGGAGGGCCCTAGGTCGGGTAGTTATCCTTGGTTGGGCGGGTCTTTCACAAGAAGACTCCAGGATGGGCCAGAGCGCTTGAGTGGGCATGATTTCCACGGTAAGACCAGCTCCTGGAAACCCTCATTTCCCAGGTTTCTGGGGAGGGGGCTCACAGTGCACGTCCAGCTTCAACAGTGCCTCGGCGGTGCCCTCTGAGTTCTGGCAGTGCAGCTGATAGAAGCCATGGTCAGCTCGGGTCACATTCCACAGCTGCAGAGCTCCGCTGGGCAGGATGCGGTGCCGGGGACCGCCAGCTGCGGGAGGTCAGGTAAGGAGCCTGGAAGGCTCGCCCATCCTCCTGAACCGCACCCTTCTCCAGGTCCGTATCCCACCTGGGCTGAGGCGGTAGCCTCGGAAGGTCCAGTTGAAAGCCTCCGGGGCGGGGTTCGCGGACACCGACACGGGCAGCAGCGCCTGGCCTTGCTCCACCACGGTCACCGCCAGCACTTGCTCCCCCAGGAACTCTGGAGGGTCTTAACAGGGGGCGCCCCAGAAGGCAAGAGTGTGGGTAAAGTTGGGTTCCAGGAGAGTTAAGGCACGAGTTCGGGGATTAGCGTGGTGGCTAGGACTAGGGGAGCGGTCAGGGTAACTCAGAGCTGAGATGGGAGACAAGGCTCTGGATAGGTGACTCAGCAGGGAAGGGAGCTTGCTGACAAACCTGAATTCAATACCCGGGGATACCGGACGGTGAGAACCAGCTAGCTTTCTTAAGTTCTTCCCGTGGCACAGGCATGAGGGAACACACACACAAGCGAATGTAATTAAAAAAAAAAAAGAAAGAAAGAAAAGAAAAGAAATCCAAGCTTGGTGTCGCGCCGCACGCCTTTAATCCCAGCACACGAGAAGCAGAGGCAGGCGGATCTCTGCGAGTTCAAGGCCAGCCAGAGCTATACAGTGAGACCCGTCACAAAAAAACAAAACAGCAAAAATTGTGCAGAGCCAGATGAGGTAGTTCCAGCCTGCAGTCCCAGCACTCCTGAGGCAGAGGCAGGAGGATTGCTGCAAGTTCATGGCCTTCATACTGTACATATTGAGTTCCAGGTCAGCCAGGACCATGCAGTAAGCAATTTTAACATTTACAAACGGACAAGCGGTTTTGCAAAATGATAGCCGCTAGGGTGAAGCCGAGGAGGGAGACCGTGGTGGCAGCCTGAGGTCGGGACAAGGCTAGGAAAGTTACAGACTCTGGAATGAGGAGAAGACTCCTTTAGCCAGGGGATTGGGTTGGGAGGGGACGGGGCGGGGTCTGGCGCTTACACAGCACGTTGAGGCGGAAGAAGGAGCTCACGGTTTCACGAAGGGCGGGGCTGTGGGCCCGGCAGGTCACCCGGTGGCCGTGGTCTCGGGATGACACCCGAAGGAAAACACTCCTGGATGCAGCCGAGCCTTTGAACGGGGCGTTCTGGGGCGGTGCAGCCACATCTTCCAGCCTGTGCAAGTTTTGAAAGTCTGGTGAGGACCCCCGGCTGGTTCAGATGTAGGAACGAGGCCCTTGGCCAATAGCTTAGGGCACGGAGGGGGCCAGGCTGGGAGGGGGAGAGGATGGACCCGGATGGGGCGGGGCCTCCTGTAAGCTCACCTCTCTCCCTCCTTGTCCCAAGACAAGTTGACCGCGGGGTTGCTGCTGATGCTGACACACGTCAAGTTTAAGGCGTCGCCTGGGCGCAGGGCCGATGAGTTGGCCAGGATAGTCAGGTTGGTTGGGGGGACTTAGTGGGTTAGAGATTCAGCTGTTGAAGAGCCTGGGCTACTGGGTTCTGAGTCTATACCGCTCCCTCCCTCCGTAACACTCTCCACCCGCCCTCCCTGCGTGCTCACACTGCACCACCAGCTGCGTGGACGCGCTGAGCTGACCCGCCTTGCACGAGAACTTGGCACGGTTGTCCGAAGGTCCTATGATCAGCACCAGCTCCCGGGAGAAAGTGCTGCCAGACTTCTCCAGGCTGCCCAGCTGCACGCGCCGCGGCTCCTGGGGCTGCCTAGGCTCGCTCACCGTTCGTGCGTCCTGAGGACCCAAACAGGGTGGGTGGCCACCAGCCCAGACAGACAGGGCCCTTGTGTGATAAAGGCGCCCTGAAGAGCCGGCACCCCACTGCCTTAAAGGAGTCGGGACTGGAATTGAGTAGTCCCAGTCCTAGTCTTCCTGCCTGCCTTGATGGTTTGGGGACCCTGATGCCTATTGTGCACCCCCCCCCCAGCCCTGACCTCACCAGCCCTCCGCCTGCGGCAGGCACCACACCCCCAAACCGTGATATTTACAGAACACTGCCTTCCAGGAAACTCCCTTGAAATTCCCAGACCCGGTATTGGAGTCTCATTTTTCTTTGCCTCTGTTTTTTTTTTTTTTTTTTTTTGCCTTGTTTTACTTGAGACAGGATCTCATGTAGCCAAGAATGACCCCAAAGTGATTCCTTTAGGTACCTGAGGGTGATCTTGAACTTCCGATTCTCCTGCTTCCCCCTCCCAAGCGCTAGGATTACAAGCGAGCCACCGCACCCACCAGTTTTTCTTTCTTTCTTTCTTTCTTTCTTTCCTTCTTTTCTTTCTTTTTTTGTTTGTTTGTTTTTTAGAGACAGGGTTTCTCTGCATTGTTTTGGAGGCTGGCCTGGAACTCACAGAGATCCGCCTGCCTCTGCCTCCTGAGTGCTGGGATTAAAGGCATGCGCCACCAACGCCCGGTGCCAGTTGTTTTTCTTAAAATGTCCACTCTTGGGCTGGAGAGACGGCTCAGCGGTTAAGAGCTCTTCCAGAGGATCCAGGTTCAATTCCCAGCACCCACATGGGCAGCTCACGGCTGTCTGTAACTCCAGTTCCAGGGAATCTGAACCCTCTTCTCCCCAATGCACTAGGCACAAATGTTGTTCGTAGACACATATGCAGGTAAAGTACCCATAAAAAGTAATAAATAAACCTTCAACAATTTTTGCTGGGTGGTGATGGCGGATGCCTTTAATCCCAGCACTCAGGAGGTAGAGGCAGGTGGATCTCTGTGAGTTTGAGGCCAACCTGGTCTACAGAGCAGAGTTACAGAACAGACTCCAAAGCTACAGTGAAACCCTGTCTCAGAAAACCAAAAAAGAACAACAATAAAAAAAAACTTTAAAAATTTCAAAAACTTTCCACTCTCCCCAAAAGATTCTCAGACCTTTTCCCTAACTCCAATATTACCCCTTAGATCTCTCCCTTCTCCGTCTCTCTCTTTTCATCGGTCTCTGCCTTCCCTTCTTATTTTCTTTACTATTAATTTTAATATGAATGGGATTATAATTGCTTTATCTCTAGAATTTTCTATCTTGACCCAAAGTTCCTTCTTTTATCTTGGAATTATTTTTCCAGATTTTCCAGAACTTCCCTGGCATTTCAATAATTCTCATGGCATTTGTGTCTTTTCAGAATCTCTAGGATTTTCCAAGAAATATGGGTTTCTCCATGTTCTGAGGGGGGGCACATGAGGATAAAAAACTCAAGGCTGGGCAGGGTTGGTGGCACACGCCTTTAATCCAAGTAGAGGCAGGTGGATCTCTGTGAGCTCGAGGCCAGCCTGGTCTACACTGTGAGCTCTAGGCCAGCCAGGGCTACAAAGAGAAACTCTGTTTCAAACAAACAAACAAACAAACAAAACAAAAAAAGTTTGAGGCCAGCCTGGACTACATATTATCTTTCCTTATGGAAGAAAACAGGGGCTAAGAATATAGTTCAGTCAGTAAAGTATGTGTGCTGACACACACACACACACACACACACACACACACACACACGAACAGATAAACAGGAAAAAAAGACAGGAGGAAAGGGAAGAAGGCAGGAAGGGGGGGGACTCTTGCTTGGTACCTACCTTAAACCAGGTGAGGGTGGGGTCTGGATTGCCTCCGATGGCTAAACACACCAGTCTTACCCGAGTCCCAGTCCGAATGTATTGCCCCTCTTGGGGTCCCTCAATCCACAGCTTCTGGGCAGGGTCTAGTGAGAGACAGAGAAAGAGAAGACATTTTTGTCTGGGCTGGAACCTCAGGGTGAGGTCTGTGCATCCTGGGGACCCTCTGGGCTCTAGGCTAGGGCTCACATTTCACGTTCAAGGTGAGTGATTTCTTGAAGGTCTCCTTGCTAAAGGCATCGCTGAAGGCTTCACAGGTAAGGGACAAGCCATTGTCTTCCCTCCGCACCAAGAATGTCAGATTGGACATGGAGATGTGGCCACCATGCAGGCCCTGGCAGGAGGGAACTTCAGATTTAGGGACTGAGGAGCCTCCAGCCATGGTAGCAGAGGCCTGGGTTGGCCAGACCCCCGCAGGGCCATGTGAAGCATTCCCACCCTCCTGTGTCAGACCCAGGAGTCAGGGCCACAGTCTGGACTGCTCAGGGTCCAAACCATCATCTCCCACATCCTCACATCCACGACTGTCTCATCCGTGGGCTGCAGCTGTCGCCCACCCAGCCACCATCGCAGCAGGACCCGTGGGCGGCTGGACTTCGTAAGGCAGCAAAGGGTCACATTCTTGTTCTCAAACTGGGATGCAGATCCCAGGATGGTGATGGCGCTGGGAGGAACTGAATGACAGACGCACTAAGGAGAGCTGGGAGTCCAGCTGGGGTCTTCGCAGACCAACCCAGACCAGATGGGGAGAGGGGACTGGCAGTGAGGTCCGTGACATCAGGGAGGCCTGACGTGAGGGCACACAGGGCTCTCTGGTTATGGACTGGGGCAGCCAGCCGGACTCACAGGTGACCTGCAGGGTGATGCTTCGCTCCTGGGTCCCTGAAGATACGCTGTTGTAGGACAGACAGCTGAGCTGAGCTCCGTGGTCTTCAGGTCGCATGGTCATCACCAGCACGCTGCGGGCCACTGCCTGGACATGCTCTGTGCCCCAAGCTATGGACACTGGTTTACCATTCTGAACACAAAAGCAAGCCTAGTCATCTCAGCAACAGCTCGTGGTCCCTGTCCTTTCCCCGTCCCCCAGTCAACCACTACCCTCACCTTCAGCCACTGCAGGGTAGCAGGTGGATTTCCGCCTCGGGCCACACAGGGCAGCTCCAGGTTCTGCCCTGCGCGCACATGCCCCTCGTCCAAGCCTGGCCAATCAATGACAGGAGGTCCTGGGGGAACTGGAGAGCAGAGACCACTCAGGGGGTCTGGGAAGCCACCTGTTCTCTCCGGATCCCCTAACCTGCTTTCTAATTTCCTCCTATGGGCTCAGGAGGTGGCTCAGGAGATAAGGGCACTTGTCAACGCACCCGACAACCTGACTTCAGTTCCTGGATTGCACGGCAGAAGGAGAGAACTAACCCTGACTTCTCCACATGCCTGGCACATTCCCACCCGGGTTCTAGCTATTCCGTCACGTAGCTGGGGCACAACGAGACCTGCTTTATAGAAGATGTCGTCCAGTGTGGCCCCACGGGGGAGGAGCAACGAGCGTGACAAGAAGTCGTGTTTCCAACCTCTGAGGATGCTCAAACACATTAACTGCCCCAGCGAGACAGTCACTCCCAATCTCCATGAATGTTGGAGGAAGAGACAGCAAACACACACACACACACACACACACACACACACACGCACGCATGCACGCACGCGCACACACACACACACACACACGCACGCACGCAACAACCACCACAACAAATAATAATAATAAATCCCAAATTTCTCTTGAATGTCTGCTTTCTGTTTCCAGGGCTGGATTTGAAATCTGAGTCCTTGCACATTCAGGGCTGGATTCTCCCGCTGAGCTGCAATACCCAGCCCTTAGCAGCCCAGGCAGGCCTTACGTTCCTTCTGCTTCAACCTCTCAAATGCTGAGATTGTCCCTCACCTCTGCCGTTCTTGAATCCCCCATGCTCACAGACCCTGCCAGGATGCCCATCCTCCATGGCCACAGTACCCAACGCTTCACTTACACAGAACATTCATGGTGAACGAAGCCTTGATGGGAGTGTCCAAGGCTGGACTAGACCCCTCACAGACTAGTAACTGTCCGTTATCTGAGCTCCGGGGTGTCACCCTGGCTTGGAAAAATACAGGTTTCTGGAGTCAGAGTCACCGTCTGAAATTCTGGGAGCCAGGATAAAGAGGAGTGCATCCCAAATTCCTGCATTTAGCCAAGTCTCCTTACTGACTTATTCCAAGGTCTGGACTCCCCCGGCAGAGACTTGGAGGTTCAACACCGAGAACAAGGGTACCCCAGGTCTCCACCTGGCCTGCTATTTTTACTCAATACCTACAGACTGGGTCCCAGGTATTCCTACAACTCAAGTTCCCATACTTGCATCACTGGGCTGTGTGGGACAACCTGGGGAGAGGGAGAAGACCCCAGCTTGCTCACCTAACTTCAGCTTCTGCGATGAAGAGCTTTTCCTCAGACCCATCGTTCACATCATAGGAGATGTCCAGGATGGTGTGTCCACCTGGGGGCAACAAGAAAGCGGAGGAGACAGATGCTGGACTCTTCTCCAAGGTACAGCATCGTGACCCGGAGGTCCTCAGGGTGGATGTAACACCCCCTTTCTATTGGCTCTGGAGGACAAGAAGCTGGGGTACCAGTTCTGTCCTCCCACACACTCAGGACCCCCGAGTTCTGGGGTTCTCAGGGCTGTATCACGGGTCCTCTCTTCCCCCTGACCCCACCCCATCTGCACCTTCTTATTCCTGGTCGGCCATTGTTACCCACCACCCTGAGTGCTGACACCCTCTCCCTACCCCAGATCAGCGGCTTGCATACTCCTGGGCGTCTCCACACAGCTCCCTTTTCTTACCCAGCACACTGTGTTGGCCTCTTCCCCTGGGTGGTGCTCAGCGATAACATTTCGGGGCCCCCGGGCAGGAACACCCCCACCTGTTTCAGTGGCGCTGTGCTGTCCCACTCACCCTGGATGAAGGTGATGTCAGGTGCTGGCTTCGCGTCCCCAGACACACAGGTGACCACATACTCCTGCCCAGCGACCCAGGTAACTGTGCTTCCTGCCTCAGGGGTCAGGTGAAGCACCTTGGGGGGAACTTTCGAGAAAGGGTGTGGCGTTAGCCGCTGCCGAGAGGCAATGTGACGTTTTTTGGCCAAGAGTTCAGGAAATTGAGGCTGTACCCAAGGCTCAGGGTGGAGGGCCTTGGGAGCTTGGGCTTCCGGGTCTGAGGGAAGAGGAAGGCTGGGGGGGCCCAGGTTGGTGGGTCCTGGAGGGGAACCTCTCACCCATACCTAGGATGGAGAGGATTACTTTGGGAGACACGAATTCGGGACCTGTCTCTGAGCGGCCGACTTGGCATTCATACTCTGCGTCGTCACTGAGGTCACAGGCTTCTATACGCAGGTGGAATTCGCCTACAGATGGATGGAGCCCCCAAGGTCAGAGCCACAGCCTCTGCGCGCGGCTCAAGACCTCAGGTTCCGGTGGCTCACCTTTGGCAGGATCTCCTTCCAGGCTGTACCTTGGGAAGCCTGGGATCCTGGGGTTTGGACCCAGAAGTAGTCCATCCTTAGCCCACTGCACCACACTGCCAGGGGCTCGGACCCCACACCGCAGCTTAACCGTTGTCCCTTCCACGGCGGTCAGGTTGCCGGAAAGAGCCCAAAAGCCTCGGGGGACAGAGGTGGGG